CCAAGACCTACTGGGACAAGTACTGTTTTCTTTCCTTTGTACACTGAGGATGTTTGGGGATCCCAACAGAGGGTGACAGAGTCTTTGATTCAACTTCCCATTTTGTACGGTTCCTGTGCTTTGTCTCTTGTCCCCATATTTGGCTTTTTAAAACTCTGGCCTTTGGCACCAGAAATCTGCAGATGCCACCAAGGCCATACTGGCTTCAGTGCTGGCTTACCAATTTTGGTTTTATACTTTCTTATCCCTTCTCTTATTCCTTTCCGTTACTTCTCTGCAAGCCCAGCAATGCATTTTAAAACATTTTATGGTGCAGTTATTATGGAAAACAGTATGGAGATTCCTTTAAAAACTAAAAATAGACTTACCGTATGATCCAGTAATCCACTCCTGGGCATATATCTGGAGGAAACTCTAATTCGAAAAGATACATGCACTCCAACGTTCATAGCAGCACTATTTACAATAGCCAAGACATGGAAGCAACCTAAATGTCCATGGACAGACAGATGACTGGATAAAGAAGTTGTGGTATATATATATATACTCTTCAGCCATAAAAAAGAATAAAATAATGACATATGCAGCAACATGGATGGACCTGGAGGTTGTCATACTGAAGTAAGCCAGAAAGAGAAAGAAAAATACAGTATCATTTATATGTGGAATCTAAAAAAGAAGACACAAATGAACTTATTTACAAAACAGAAACAGACTCACAGACATAAAACACACTTAAGGTTACCAGCAGGGTATGGTAGGGTGGAGGGATTAATTGAGAGTTTGGGATTTGCAGATACTAACTCCTATATATAAAATAGATAAACAAGGTTCTACTGAATAGCATAGGGAGCTATATTCAATGTCTTGTAATAACCTGTAATGAAAAATAATATGAAAAGGAATATGTATATATGTATAACTGAAACATTATGCTGAAACCCCAGAAATTAACACAATTATTGTAAACTGACTATAATTCAGTAAAAAATTATGAAAAATAAAACATTAGAAAATTCATCCATCATTTTGATTGTTCCATACTAGGAAGATTTCCTTGTACATTTAGTCCACTATGTTGTCAGATACGGAAGTCCAATAATTTTTCTTAGAAAATATGTCAGTCATGCAGGAGCCCCATAGAGCAGGTGATTTCTACTTTAGCAGTCAGCAAAATTTTACAAACCCAAGTTTTCTCTTTCCTGCTGTTTCTTCTTGTTTGTTTAGGGTGTCTCAGGAGACATTCCTGTAAATTGCATGCTTGGGCACAAATAGAATGAAAGTTCTATAAGGACAGCAATTATTGCACCTGGTTGTGAGATGACCATCCAGGACCATATTAGGCTGGGAGAAAAATAATGACTTTGGGAGAACAGATCCCCTCAAATGATACACTTCTGTCAAGATCAGAGCCATCTTCTTTCACAGTTTTGCAATTTAGGAAGACCTAGGAGTTGCTTCAAACTAGATGATCTCCCTGGCTGAGGATGTAAATTTACTTGAAGATTCTGTTAGAGAAGCCAGTGGGGAAATTTCAACAAAGATGCTTTGCCAGTTTAGGTCTTTGTGGGTGACTTCTAGACAATTTCAATTCTGACTTTGTACAGAGATCATCCTTGAAACGGCTTTAAAGAAAAAAAAAATCCTTCAGTAAAGATGGTGGGAAGAAACCCCACCAATCTGTGTCTTCTTAAGCTGGAAGGAACACTTTTCTCCTTCTCAAAGGGCTTTTGGAGGAGCAACTTAGGATTTTTACTGTTCCTGGGAGGGTACTGGTGGCTCTCACTTCTTTTAGTATGCAGGAGACCAGCCCCTTTCCATTCTTGGTCTTAAATAAGCATGGCATTAAAAACACTCCATCACTTCACAGATAGTGTTTCTAGCAGCTGCTTTTTGCAATATTAAAATCTCTTCTACAAAGAGATGCTGCCTTTCAAAAAAAGGCTATTGAGGCTTCTCCCCCAGCGCCCTGCCTCCATGGCTCATGTATGACAGGATTCCCATGAAAACCTGTTTACCCTAGGTCCTGTAGTCATCAAAACACAGCCTAGAATTTCATAATTTTTTAGTAGCACCATTTTCCCCCCACGTAGAGTTCCACCTTTCAAAGGCACAAGCAAGTGTTCATTTTCTAGTAATGTACAAGAATAATGACTGTCTGAGTCAAAGGCATATTTTTATGACGACCTTCCAAAAGCAAAATCGGTCTCCCTTGTCTGCCCTTATGTCCAGGGAAATGGTAGTGTCAGCATGTTGTTGCCAATAGGCACCTGGGAAGACTGGTCAAAAGGACCCTCACCTCCTCGGCCAGTTGGTGGAATATTACCACTGTGTTGGAGGCACATTAAGCCAGCCCTGGCCTGTGAAGGAAGAGGAGCTTTGCTGACCAGCACTTCCCATGTCTGGCAGCCCTCCCAGTGTCAGGGCCAATGGCCTCTTGTGATAAGGCATAGCCCTTCTTGGCAGGCTTGGCACATGCCCACACGTCAGCAGTTTGAGCTGAGCTTTGCTTCAATTTCTGGTTTATGCGACTGCACTTCTCAGAGCATATCACATCTTGACAGTTTTACATTCACCTGGCTCCCTCCCCAAGCCCTAGTCAAAGTGTGCCTCTGTAGAGAGAGTGTACCTGTCCCAGGGCTCTGCCAGCCACCGTATAGTTGGCTGTGGTTTCTGGGATGTGTAACACAGAATCTATTTTCATCTGACTTGGACCCAGCCCAGAGGTTCTGACCCATTGAAACCTTGACAGAACTGCTGTTATTTAGATGAGCCTAATTTTACCAATGTGTTTTCCTCTTCCCAGCATCCTGAATGTGGAGGAGTGTTCTTATTCCCATAATTTGACAATTTGTCATTTTTTCCAGGTTAAAAAACACTCAATCATCTTTGCCCTTTTATAGCTTTTCAGCTAATTCAACTGGTCCTGAGTTCCCGCCCTGTCCCCACGATCTCACCAGTGGCTGGTGGTCAGCTCCTCTGACTTTCCAGCTCCTCCTGTCGGTTACACGCACTCTTGCCACTCCTGCCCTGGGCAGTTGAGGTGGTCCCTTGTGCTTTGTGTCACTGCTCAGCAGCTGGCCCTAGCTGTGTTGGGGCTGGGGACGGGGGGGGGGCTCCTCTCCCAACCTGAGGCTGGGGAGGCAGAGCCCCCAGAGAGGGAAAGTTCCTGTCCTCCTTTTCCCAGTGTCTCCAGCAGCCAGTCCGGGGGTAGGGGAGTAGGAAACCCCCAGGCTCAACAAAGGGGAGATAGATACCCACTCCTGGGGGTTCTCATCATCAAAGCAGGAGCCGTGGTGGTTCTTTTGGAGGCCACATGCTGGCCAGGGCACAGAGAACTATGGAACCCAGCAGGATAGGTGTGGGCGCAGGCAACTGTTCACTGATGAGGTGGTATGGGATGGGTGCCCAGAGAAACAAGGACCAGCTAGATGAGGGAGAGAGTTCAGGGCATCTAGAGTCTGGAGTCTGGAG